AGGCTAAAGCCTCTGAGTAAGTCTTATGATCACACCTTTGCTACATGGGCCACCTCTCTTATAAAACCTACTGTCAGCCCACTACTCCCATCGCCGCCGCGTCTATCCTGTTTTTATCTCTAATACCAAGTCTATGACTTGCCATGCCCTAGTCTCTTGTGGGCCAACCCACAAACGTTTTGGTTCAACATTGAACCTAACCAATGCGAGCAGTACCACAACATTTGTGGGTTGGCACACAAGAGACTAGGGCATGTCAAGTCATAAAGTTGGTATTAGGGATAGAAACAGGATAGACACGGCGGAGATTGGAGCTAGTGGGTTGGCACACAAGAGACTAGGGCATGTGAAGTCATAAAGTTGGTATTAGGGATAGAAACAGGATATACACGGCGGCGATTGGAGCTAGTGGGCTGGCAGTTGATTGTATAAGAGACGTGATTCATGTAGCAAAGGTGTGACCATGAGACTTACTCAGAGGCTTTAGCCTCGAATAGTCACCCAGACGCAGGGGAGGGCAAATGGGGTCACAAATGGGGTGGCAGGGGTCGAGTGAAATATGTGAACCAGGGAGAGAGTAAACAGATCTTACGGGGCAAGAGAGAGAGAGAGTGTGATAAGACCTAGGGAAGGAGGACGGTGTAACAATATGGCAGACAGCTCAACAGTCCAAGCACAAGGATGAAGGGGGGTGAGAACACCAGCGTGAAGTGAGCAAGGTTCTGATGAAAGTCATTCAAAAGGGCACACCGTACCACATTTTATTAGGCAAGTAAAAAATTGTAACAGTGACTGCGTGATTGGAGGATATAGGAAATGTGAATAGGCAAGGGTAGAACTGTTTGGTCAAAAGATCGGCTTCACTTGTTTTTGACACGTAATATGGTGCTACAAATAGCAAAACTCATTAACGATTCCGACGAAACGTCTGAGAATGTACCACCTCGACGGTCCAACTTTGGAAACGATCATGCATACAATGTACTCCGGACAAGGTGCGTTCCTCTCAGCCATCCTAACAATATGACCGAGTTGCGAAAACAAGGTCAAACAACGAAAGGAGACTGCGGCCACACAAAAAGCCACACCATCTTGGTCTTCATACCTTCGTTTACATGATTGTATTTATATTGTAAGCACCCCTACTGTATTCAGCTGTTACAAAATAGGACAATTGGTAATATTATTTGTTCCTTTTTTCTCTTCGTTTTCGGGCTTCAATCTTTGGAATTTAATGTAAACGCCAGCTCTACTCATATCATTATAGGAAAATTCAACTGCGACTCCTTCATCACCTTACGATAAATAGGGTGAACACAACTCATAGATATGATTTAATAGTAGTCTTGAAAACGAAATAAATGTTATTTTTAATATTAACACGCATATCTAGATAAAAAATAACAGTCTCATTGAATATATAAAGCACAAGATAGATGTGACGAAATCGTTTAAAAGAGAAGCAACAAAATGTTGATAGTAAAACGTTCATTTTTAATGGATTAAAATATGCTATACGGTTTCCCGAATTATATGTTAATACCATTGGGAACACTAGTCAAGAAACGTAATCGTGAGTTCCAGCATCAGACCATTGATTTGGTACATACTCAGACATTTCGCCTGCATTGTCAGTAAGAGGCGCCACCGTTAGCATAGAGTTACAACTCATCAAAGTGATAAGTGAAAGCAATCACCTCTAACAATTTTTTGTCCAACTGTGGTGGCAGCACTCCTCGTTCCCAGTCTCTACCCTAACATTTAGTGCTGCATTTCTTGACGAATACTATGACAAGGGATACAGGTACGTTTCCCAAGGTCTCCCTGACGCTCCGACCAAGTTGCGAAAACGAGGTAAAACGAGCACTATAAAGCTGAAGGAGATTGTGAGCAAACAGAATGCCACACCACTTTGGACTTTATATCTACGATCTATTTCTATTAAGTTTATCTGTAGTTGTGTCTTACGATTTACACTGACTTACCTTTACTTAAGCTATCTGATAAATCAATCGACTTGCATCTATAATTACACATTTGAGGATGCAGAATATATAAGATAAGTATATGCATTACTCACTAGGTGAAAGACAATGATTAAGCAATATAGAGTAAAATATAGGTAATTAATATCGCAATAGAAATCCAACTAACTTGACAAATAGCACGAGAACGAATCTCACGGCAGAGAATATTGACATGGTCAGCCAGAAAGATATCCAACTGAAGAACATCCTTGACGCTATGCAAACGCTGCAGGCAAGTAGCATAATCAGCTTGTACATGGAAAGAAGTCAGAACTTCTCGACAGACCGGCTCAGCTTCGAGCAATAGACGAAAGTTAGGACTACCCATTACACGGCAGGCCAATTCGGGCCTGTCGAAAGTGGCCAGACAGCAAAGCGTCACATAATAGGCGAGGTCAGATGGCGTGATTAGACTATAACGACCAGGGGATTCGAGGTGATCATAATTTGCCTACGATAGATGTGGAAGACGGTGTAGATCAGTACAATAAAAATATATTTTAAAAAGAGAGCTAAAGCTCATTGAAGAAAGTAAAGAATGACATTCTCACGAGAGAAGGGGAATATGCCTACCATAAGGAAGTAGTTAGCAGCGCCACGATAGTTGGAGGTCGCTAGTTCTACAAGGCCACCGGCGATGGCAAGTTGTGTACGCGCTTGCGCCATTGCATCCCTGTAAGTTTGACCGCATCCAGCAGCCGAAAAAGCAGAGGCAATTGAGCCTGCACTGGCGGCACCTGCGCTACCTGGTGGTGTTGGTATGAGTCCAAGTACACCTCCGGTGATGGGTCGACTGGAAGAAGCCGACGAGCCGGAAGCAAGGCGAGTGCTAGCACGTTTACTAGACGTTGTAGCAGTCGCTAAAGAAGAGCCGCTATTGGTGCCACTGGTGCCCATCGAAGTAGTACTCGCGGCAGCAGCAGCAGCAAGGGCAGATTCACGTACCTCAGAAAGATTCTCAGCACGAATTACGTGTGCGCTCACATGAGACCAAGCGCGCTGAAAGATAGCCACCTGGGCGAATATAAAAGGAAAATGTGTAAAGGATATTACGAAGTTATATTTACGTTATTTACGAATCACACATCTTTTAAACTACAGCCCAAACTATAATATAAATGTAATACAAAAAAACTATGTAAGATCGCTTTACATTAGTTTTAAAGAGAAGAAAGTCGTATAATTAAGTGTTAGACTCATTTTTGGACCAAAATAGCTAAGTAAAAAGTAGCATATGCGGATGATAGTAATTTATGGCCAAAATGTTAGGAAACGATGGGATTATTCGCGTAAAAAGGTAACTATAAACTTCCTATGGAAGTTTGGAGAATAAATTAATCACATCTCTCATTATCCTTCTGCATCAATGAACATACAAACAAAAGTAAATAAAACTTTCCTCATGTTAACATTTAAATTGAGTGACTATTAGTAGACAATAAAATAAAATAAAACGAGTTCAAATATACATGAGTAAATTAGTCTAAGGGGAAAATATCAGTCTAAGCACCGAATTCACTTTTACTTATAAATCAACAAAGATGATAAAGCAGTTGTCATAGCAATTAGATTAATAAAATGACAATTTTTCATAATCAAGAAGTCGCGTGTTGCACAACGATATGATACATTAAAAGGTCAAACAACTTCTATAAATAAGTTAGTTTACCTTAATAACATTCAAGCACATAGTCAGTTCCTGATGTTGGGAGGTGCAGTAATCTCTAGATCGAGTATAACATTTGATGGCGTTCGTCAATTGCCCAATTTGAAGATATAGATCACCAAGATCGTCAGAGCCACGGCTTCAAAATATTAAAATAAGTAATTTGAATGAGATAGGCAATTCGACCGAATTAGTAAACCAAGCTAAATTCACAGATATCCGCTGTGAAGACAATATATCCAGAAAAAGAATTGGAGTCCAGAAAAGATAAACAAAAAATATTTAGAAGGCTATGATTAATAAATTGTTATTTGAGAGAAACTAAAAAGTATAATATAAGTAAACAGATGAGATATATGTTAGATATGAAGAACAAAATGGTGTGGCATCTTGGAGACAAAGCGAATGCATAGAATCCTTAATCCGATTAATCAAGCTAACAATAAGAGCTACCTATTTCACGTTCAGCGGCCGTATATAAGAGCAAATATTTGCTCTACCTATGGGCTCACCTCTG